GGGTACCATGGCGATCTGGTTGGTACCCCCTGTAGGCGTCTAAGAAAACTCATTCTTCCAATGCCCTTGAAGTGCATCTACTAGTTGGTCAATTTTTGGGCAGGGAAAAGCTGCTTTGACAGGCTTTGTTGAAGCTGGTAAATTGTCTACGCAAGACCCTCCTTTACCGTCTTCTTTCTTTCACCACGACTGTATTAGATAGCCATGTTGGGTAAGTGTAAACTTCCTCTAATGGCCCTGGCCTCGCAGAAGTCTGTCTACTCTCTTCTACTATTATCGACGTGTATCCAACGTCGGTCTTCTGGCTCTGAATTACAGGTTGGCCGAACCACTCAACATTCAGTTTGTGGCAAGTGACCTCAGGTCAATGCCAGATCATTTCATAAGGTGTCAAGCGAACACCTCAATATTTTCTCTCAAAAAAGTTTCTAACTCTTTTTCCTCTTCTTCGGCTAAGCCCAAGCCGAGAAGAAAGAAGCGTTCTTCATCCCCATCCTGGACCGAGGATTTTCTTTAGTCCCTCTTCGCTCTTCTCGCTGTCTTTGCACGACGTCCTTCATAACTTCCACGTCCTCAATCTTCAATTTTTGCCTTCTCTTGGCTCTCGCACGCTGCAGAGATTTCATTGCTGCATGGAGCAATTCTTCGCCTGTAGCTGTCGCCTCTAACATCCTCTATCCCCTGCTCTGTGGGAATCGCAATAGTTTGATGCAATTTGAGTCCTCGGCTTCTCTCTTCTGAGACTCAGCCACTTTCCTGATAGCCTCAGTAGCCTCAGCCTTCTCTTTGGCATTAGTCTGAGCCTTGATTGCAGCCTCGACTTGGTCCTCTAATTTTTTCATCTTTAATTGAAGACCTTTGTTGGTCTTCTGGAGGGAAGAGAACTCCTTCTTCATCTCAACCAGCTTCTGCCGATTTTCGAAAGACTGAACATAAAAAAGAGTGGGCATACTGGATGGCCTGAAGAAAACACAGAGTAAAAGTTATTGCAAAAATTTTCTAAGTATGAAAAAGAAAAGAAAAAAGTGCCAAATGAAAGACACTTACTTGAACGGAGCGTTGAAGCATTAACGCATAATTTTCATATTCGCTCAACTCGGCGTTTCGCTCCAAGTCGCCTGGTAGCAGCAGAGCAGTGCTAAACGCAACGCCGACATTAATATCCTCGACACTATCGTTCGCCGTGACTGGCTTATCCTCAAAAGTAATTTCGGGTGCCCAGAGGGCAGCGGGCTTCTTAGACCCCGAAGTTGTAGCGGAGGATGACTTCGGCTTTTTGGATTTTGGGGATTCTGATGGTTGGGCTTCAGAGCGCCTCTTCCCAACAGAAGGTTGAGACTTGTCACTCTCAGCCAACTTGGAGATTGGCAGAGCATCCTCAGACTCAACTTGAGTAACTTTAGCTTTTGGCTGAGCTTTTTTTACTCTTTCGGCTTCGGTGGAAGAAGGGTTTGTGCTGGTTGATCGTTAACAGATGAAGGAATGCTGGCCAGAAGATCTTTTGCAACTGGTTTTGCGCGACCCATCTCGGCAGTAGGAACTATTCGGCGTCGGCGGCGGCGCTGTGAAATTGGAACCAAGTATGGAGTTGAAGTTGACGGTTGCTCGGCTGGATCAGAAATTGACCCCTGATCTGTCCGAGATGTGGATATGGTCTGTGGAGTTGTGGCAGAAGGTGGAGAGAGGCTTTTCTTCTTCCTCTTAGAGACGTCGGGCAAGGCTGACTTGTAAGTTGGGATAAAGTTAAGGAGCAGAGGCGCCTTTCGTTTGTGAATCGGCAAGTTCAGAAGTTTTTTCAAATCCTTGCTGGGATAGAAGGATTGGCGAAAATTTTTTGGTGGCTGAGGAAGAACTGCAAAGATAAAAACAATACAGACATTAGAACAAGAGTATTGAACAATTTATGCAAGAAGATAAAAAGAAACTTATGAAGGGTGGCCCTTACCAGCTCCTTCCCCTAAAACAGTTCGGCTTAAAGGATAAAGATGGAGGTCGTCGTTTGGCTGAAACTCCCAATTGCCCGAGACAATGAAGTAATCGTCTCCAGCTCCCTTGTTGGAGTCTGGGAGGTCGGCTACAATTTTATATTCAGTGGATCTCAGCTTAAGATAATAGACATAGTCCGTGTCTTTTCTAAGACGACACATGGTGTAACAGTACTGGAAATCGACAAGTGTAATTCTGGCATTCTCTTGTTTAACTAAGGCTATAGTGTCAGTGATAACTCGGTAAGAATTGATGGCAAGTTGCATTGGGTTCAACTTATAGAAGTGAAGGATTTGACGGAAAAAGGGGTCAAGTGGAAACCGGAGTCCACACTCGATAAAGGCAACCACAGGGAAGGGCATGGAGTTTTCTGTAGGCATGATGGAGTCATCATCCCCAGCCAACCTCAGATTGACATCGGCTGGGATTTCAAACTCTTGCCTAAAAAATTCTAGCTTAGAGGGGGTGTTTACCCGATATTCCCACATACCCATGATGTCAGGATAACTAAAGGTATTGGGTTTCAATAAGAAGATGGTTCAAATAGGGTTACTGGGACCTCGGCAAAAAACCTAGGTTTTAGTTGGTGTAGAGATTTGTAAGGGATGTTTCAGTTTTGCCCTAAAATGTGGGTTTTACAAACAAATTCCAAACCTAAAACTATGAAGATAAAGATCAAAGGCACAGATCTGGAAAAGACACAAAAAACAGAAAACAAAAGCCGAGTTTCAAAATCAAGAACAAAGATGGACTATCAAGAACATGAAGAATACAAAGGGTTGAAGGCCAAGAACAGTGGCAAGACGTGCAAGAAAACTATGAACAGTACATGTATTTAAGGCATAAGCAAAAAGCGAAATCAACGCAATCAGATGTATGATTCACAAATTAATTGTTTGAGCAAGGCAGTAGCAAACAAGAAATTTCAGAAAAACTCAAGAAACTGGAATAAAAAGAAACATATTGCTTATCAGAAAATATGAAGTCGATGTAAAGATCGCCGAAATCAGATGACGGTCGTGAAGGCAACGAAATGGTGCAAAACACGCCGGAAGGGGTGAACGGAATAAGTTTCAGAGCAAAAAAGCTTGAACAATGGCAGACTCAAAAAGAGAAAAGCTAGAGAAAGAAAAAAGTTTTTCCAGAAATAAGAATAAGGTGAAAGGGAGAAATTGAAGAAAATGTTTTGTTAAAAATGAAAACGGCGGCAAAAAGTAATCAATACGCCTAGAAGAATGTATGCGTCAGACGGCGCACGTGTGAGAGAGACGGCTTACGGGCGTGTCACAGGTACGAACTAGTAAGAAAGAAACGCGTGGCTAAAAACGGTTGAATTATGGTGTATGACAGCTCATACGCGTGAAAGGATTCATGAAGTTCTTGTTCTTTAGCAAAGACATGTCGGCCGAAATAATGATCTCGGCTGAGATACTGAAGACCGAGATATAGGTTCCATCACTTCAGAATACCGAGATAATAGAACCTAGGGGCAGTTGTAGGGATATATTTTTGAGTACCGACACATAGCAAGGTGACGCCGACGTGTCAGCCGAGGTGCCACGTGTCAGGGTCATGACGCCGAGGTGATCTCGGGTAAGCCGAGGTTATTTCCGAAGATATCGGAATCTGAGATAATCGGATAAAGGATAAGGGACAAGAGTCCTAGAATAAAGAGGAGACTTAGCCAACATAAGGATAAAACTCTTAGAGAGTTTATCTTTATCTCTTGAGGAGTCCAAAGTAAGTACTAAATAGGAATCCATAGAAGTCAGGCTTCTAAATGGGATTTGGATGAAGGTAACTATAAAAGAGAGGCACCTCCGTGGGTCTAAGGTACGCAATTTCATGCTTTGAGCAGTAAGTTTAGCACTTGATTATCTTTGAGATATATACTGACTTGATCGTCGGAGTGCTCCCGAGTGGAAGAACCACCGTCGGAGCCTTCTCTTTCTGTTACAGGTTAACTGAAGCTATCTATTCTGCCGGTGCTCTCTAGCTGATTACTAAACGGGCAGTGTGATCAGAAAATCACTCACACATAAGTTGTATTTTGAGTTTGTGTATTTTGAAATCATGATTTGAGTATAAAAAATTTATTTAGTTATGATTTTTAAATAGAGTGTTGAATTGAGTTTTGAATTGAGTGTGGAATTAAGTTTCGAAAGTTTGATATGGCATGAAGTAAGAAAATTTGTTTGGTTATAAGTTTTGAAAAGAGTTTTTAAAACTTAATTCAAATTGTTATAACTCATAATAAAACACATTACTTTCACACTATTGAAAATTATGTTCAACACTTATAACCAAACTCTTTTTAAAATTCAATTAAATTTTTTTATTATTAACAGAAAATAACATTAATCAATTTTTTCATTGAAAATACTACAAAGGAAATAAATTTTTTTCAAAACAAATATTCAAAAAATTTTAATCATAAATATTTAAATAATCTAAAAAAACTATAAAATTATAATAGGGACCTTAAAAAAATAAAATCCCAAAAATTTAATAAGTAAAAAATTAAAATAAATATTCAAAAAATTCAAATCATAAAAATTTAAATAATTTAAAATTTTAATATTTTGAATTTAAAAACAATTCTACATTTAAATCGTAACCAAACACATAAAACAAAACTCAATTAAGAAATTATTTTTAAAACTTGTAACCAAACACATAACTCGAAACTCCATATTATTTTCATAACTTTACACTTAAATTGTAACCAAATACATAACAAAAAAATTAAAATCATAATATTTAAAAATATTCAAAAAATTAAAAAAATCGTAACATATTTAAAATCTTAACAAAATTAAAATATTTAAGAAATTAAAATATTAATTTGAATTGAGTTTTGAAAAGAGTTTTAAATTATGCATTTGGTTATGAGTTTTGAAAAGTAATGATTATATTTTGAATTGAGTTTTGAGAAATGGATATAGAATTATGATTTGAAAGCTCAAAACAAACACCACACTCAAATCAATGGATAGAACTATAATTTGAAAGAGTTACCAAACGGAGCTTAACACTTCCCATTAGTACATGATAAACGTACATCTCTATAAATCAATAAAAGTCGGTCAAGATTAGCATCCACCAAATTTTCAAAACAAAAAATAAAAATAATAATAATAAAAATCCCACAGCATGCAGCTGAGATGTATTAGAATTTAGAATACATAGGTCCCATTCTTTACAAGTGTCCTATCCCGTAGAACCAAAATGCGTTTCTCATTTACCCTCTGAAGTAAATACGAGATAACATCATCCTACTCGTCCTTGATCAAGCTAGATCATCTGTTTTTGTTCTTACAAACCGTGCATACAGTCCGCCCTTACAAAGAAGGTCCACATGATTGCCCAACTGCATAGATCAGTCATTAGCACGCTGAACACTATATTCATAGCACGAACATAGGAAAAGGGAAAACAGCCTTGCTCTGGGCAAGAAGCATGCTGCCATATGGTCAGCAATTTCTACATTTTTACCAAGGTCAAAAACAAGCGCTGAAGCACAAAAAGGTAATTTGGTCAAGTCAGAGAAACTACAGGGACAAAAGGAGGCCCATAATGAACTTGATAGAACTAGTAACTAATCCCAACATGTAAGTATTGAAAAAACTCATATGAGCAAAAAATCTCAAATATCCTTGATCATGAGACATATAAAATAAGAACCATAATTCTAACAGTAGTGATTAATATTGACATAATAGAAGTGGATCAATCAAATAGCCGCATTCTAAAGAAAAATCATTATTAATGATCCAAGACCATACATATTGATGTATAGAAGTTGATGCTTTGAAATGGCAATATTGCCCAATCTTCGATATTATATCTGGCCTCAAATAGATTATATAACAACAGAAATGAGGGTTCATGTAGCCAGCTGCTTAAAGAGGGGGTTGTAATTGAAGTTTAGTTGGATTGGTAAAATAACGAGTTCAATTCTTTACCATTGTTTAAAGTTCTCTCTGTTACTATGGGGAAGTGCCCAGAACTTCATATGGTGCATACACTTTATATTTCCAACTGTAGATGAAGTTAACCCAAATACAGGAAAAGACCTTACCTCAACAACTCGACCACCATCCATTACCATGATTTTGTCAGCGGCTTTTATAGTAGATAGCCTGCAAAAGGTGTGTCACAGAATCACATATTGAATCTCACTATCAAGTAGGAAAACAAGTGCCACAAGAAAACTCACCCATGTGCTATTACAATGACTGTTCTTTTTACTCTACAATCATTTCTGAAAGCATGAAGAAGCCTCTAAAAAATACAGCAAATGATGTATCAACAAGTGCAGTAATCTTGAAAATTTATTTATTTATTTTGTCTACTGATTTTCGGGATGATATTTTTATAGTGGAAGAGATAAATGTGCTTACAGCAATGTAATATTCATTTTCTGCATCCAGAGCACTGGTGGCTTCATCAAGGATTAGAATAGCAGGGTCCCTAACAATGGCCCTAGCAATGGCAATCCGCTGCTTTTGACCCCCACTGAGCAAACCATCGTCAACGATGGTCTCATAACCATTGGGAAGAGATGAGATAAATTCATGAGCATTGGCTTGTTTCGCAGCCCATTCTACATCTTGCTGCTTGATGTCTCTTGAGCAACCATAACTAATGTTTGATTTCACATCCATGTGAAAAAGATGGGGTTCCTGTTCAAATAGAACATTTACGGAACAATATTGTAGCAAGTTTTCAAGCATTTCTTGCAGTTATATCAGTCTAACCTGTCCAACAAGTCCAATTTTGTCCTGCAACCACCTGATGTCCAACTTTCTAAGAGAAACCATCAACCAAAATCTGTAATTAAATGGCACTTCTATATGTAAGATCCAGCTAGCAAACATCAAAGTCACAATTTTTTAGACATGCAAGGTGTCTCATGCAAAGATAGTTGTGAGACTTGTGAGAGAACAATTAAACGAAGTTTGGTATAACAATAAGCGGGTGGAAAAACTCCCCACCACTCCTGTTCCATATTGTGAGATAATAGAAAGCAACCCATGAACAGATGCACAAAATTTGGGGGTGATCGTTTGACCTGAGCACCAGCAATCATGAATTGGTGTATAAATTCAAGGCAATTTAGGTTCTAACTGGGGAAAAAAGTATCATGGAGTTCTAAACATTTTATCTGGTGTCAAATATACTTCACTGGGGACATCGTAGGACACGTTTCAGAAATGCTTGAAACTTGCTTAGAGAGAGCATCAGTGGTTTCACCATAGAGAAACTTATAAACTAATGGGTGAAATAATAGATTAGTAGTTCCTCCATGTAATCATTTATTCAATTCCAAGATCATGACATAATGCATGTGTAAACATTGCTTACCTCTCCGCTGGTTGGCTCATAGAGACGAAGCAAAAGATTCACTAATGTGCTTTTCCCACTACCACTGAGACCGACCTTGGCAAGATTAGGAAATGGAAATGCAGTTTGTACTCAAAGTTTTATTCCAGAATGAAACAACAGTAAATAAGCAATGTCATTTCTTACTATTGCCACCATTTCATTAGTCTGTACAGAAATGTTTGCATGCTCTAGAACAGGTACCTGTTCAAATGTCAGAGACTAGTGGGTGAGTTACTTCCATCAAAAAGAATAAACACACAAGGAATAGTTAATATCAACAGGAACCTTAAAGGGAGTGATTAAGAAAATCCTATGAAGGTGCTATAAGTCTTCAAAATTTATTTCGTGACATATTCATATGATAAAGGTCCTGAATATATTAAGAGTCATGTGTTACCTCAATAAAAATATCTTATAAAATGGAAAGGTTTCGCTGATGTGACAAGGCACATTCATACGGAGCCTAACAAAGACAAATTAACAGGAAAAACTGTTTCTAAATATAAGAAGTTTATTTAATAATAAAACAAGTTATTACAGCGTGAGATGTGTTAAACGGATAAATGCAAAGTAGTCTAATCGGTATAGGTTTAATTGCTAGTGAATCCTTATCTGAAAGAATATTGTAATTCTCAGAAATCCAAGATACAGATTTAGGACTATATTTTTTTTCTCACCGGCGGGCAGTCGGCCGGCAATCTTGCCTTCACTGCCCGCTGGAGTTTTCTACACATACCTTCACTCCGCTGTATCTTCAACTCTCTCTCTCTATAGATATATATTTTATCGTTTGTCGAAGTTTCGCTCTCTTTCTCTTACTCTGCACTTTCTACTTTGGAGAGCAGTTGTCTGGCTTTGCCTTCTCTGCCAATGGGTGGGTGCAATCCTATGGATCTCGTTGTGTGAAGCCACCAATCATCTTTGGTGATGTGAGCCGCCCCAAGGCAATGACCGTTTTCTGGTCCTCTATGGCTCAAAGCATGACTGCTCGCCCAATGAAGGGAATGCTTACTGGGCTCTACGACATTCACTCTCCTAGAATACCATCAACCGAAGAGATTGCTGATAGAATCAACAAGATGCTTCAAGTGCTCGAGACCAACATCTTGTGGGTTAACCCCGACTGTGGGCTCAAGACTCGCAAATACCACGAAGTTAAGCCGGCCCTCCTAAACATGGTTGCTGCATTTGAGAAGGCCTCTGGCAAGAAAATCCCCATCAAATTGTGTCCAAGAAGAGCAGGTGATGCCACTGCAGTTTATGCTTCTACAGAGAAAGCTGAGAAAGAACTTGGTTGGGAGAGAAAGTTGAGAGAGAGAGAGAGAGGAGAGGACGCGTGAGAAATGAGGTGGTCAAAACCCTGGTCAGTTATGGATCTTTTTTTATTTAACCTACACACCACCATTCCCTATATAATTCACATGGTCTTGTTCCCCATCTTTTCATATAATATAACCCATCATCCCTAATTACGCAGTCCAACCTCACCATCTCTCTCATCTTTCCACTTTCAAACCCACAATCCTTTTTTTAATCAATCCACTCCCTCACTTTCTTTAAACCTCTCTCTCCACTCACCGACTCCCTCACCCCCGAAAAGAATATCTTTATTTATTTATCTTATCTTTCTTGTGTTCCATTTTTCAGACCAAAAAACAAAAACAAAACAAAACAAAAAAAAAACCAACACCAGGGATCTCTTCTTTTTGAAAACATAATCATCTCTCCCACCAAAACGACATCTTTCAACCTACCCATCTTTCTTTTCCCCACTAAAATATATTATACTAGCCTTCATTGATTCCACTGGATTCCAACACTTCATTTTATATATTATTATTTTTTTTTTTTTTTTTTTTTTTCACCCCAAAAAAAAAAAAAAAAAAAAACCAAATTTCATTCCAGTTGATTTTTCTGCATTACCACACCTTCCATTCGAGTTTGCAAAACACACTTGCTTTATTCATATCAGGGATCCACCCCGATCACAATTTTACACCACAAAAAAAAAATAAAAATAAAATAAAATAAAAAAATAAAAAAAACATAAACAAACCCCAAACAACCACATCCACAGGCAGGATTTTTCTTCTCTACTCTGTCGCCGATCTCTTCTTCTTGCCTCCGTCCTGGGCGGCCCTTGACGGTGTTGCCTCCGTGTTTCCCACTCCACTGGGCACGATCACTACTCCCTGCTCCTCCACTACAGCATATGGCGGACCTCCAAATCGGAACATAACGGTGGCCTTCCGCTTCAGCTCCTTATTTTCCGCCTTTAGCACACTTATCTCTGCTCGCGCATCCTTATACATGCGTTGGAGCAGAGCCAGTTGGGCGTTTAACTGCTGCACCTCATTTGTCCTACTCTGCAGCCGGTGCGACAAATTTGTAACCGCAGTCATGGTTTCCACACATGACTTCAAGGTATACTGATTCGCCTCAATATCTGATTGCGCTGCCATTCTTTGCTCCACAGACCGCAAAGGAAAGTTCAACGGAGCAAAACCAGAGGTGTTTGGTTGAGGTTCACAGGCCACCGCACCAGTTATCTAATCCAGTATCCGAAAAATGCCACTTTCTATTGGAGCCGGTGGCATTAGACCATGTTGTATAGCAGTCGGAGCAGATCATTTAGTTTTAATATGGAAGGTACTGTCATTAGGAGGGTCATTCCTTCAGACAACAGTTGCCTCTTCAATGCTGTTGGGTATGTTATGGACCATGACAAAAACAAAGCTCCCGAGTTGAGACAGGTTATAGCTGCGACAGTGGCAAGTGATCCGACACAATATTCTGAAGCATTTGGGAAGCCAAATGAAGAGTACTGCACCTGGATTCTTGACCCAGAGAAGTGGGGAGGTGCGTTTTGAACTTATTTTATCGTCTGTTTGTTTATGATCTATCTAGAATTGATGAGAATTTATGAAAAACAACATGGGTCCATGAGATGAAATTGCTTGCAACTGCTTGCCTTCTCGGTCCTGCTATTACCACAGGATCAATGTTCACTGAGGCTCTTTCTCATTTTTTTGCATAGTGATATATGTCTTCCTATTATGTGTGCTTCTTGTCTGGCCTTGCTCCTTCACAGATCAACTTTGGCTTGGATTGGTTACCCCACAAGACTCTGTAAACTGTCCCGACATTGATTCCGGTTAGTTTCTACAAGGGTCCAGCAAGACTCCGTAAACTGTCACAACAACTGTCACAACATTGTCTGCTACAACGGTCCGACATGACCCCATAAACTGTCGTCTACATCGGTCTGCCATAACCATACAGTCTTCTACAACGGTCTGACACGACCATACAGTGTCTCCTATCCTCTTTTATTTTATGTATTCGTCTATTTTCTTGTTTTGGTACTCTCTCCAAACTCAAGTTGGTTAGTTCCTATCCCCCTGAGTTTGCGAGGGGCTGTTAAAATGTACCAAAACCTACCACTACACCTACTCCACCCACTTCACCCACTCCACCCACTTCACCTACTCCACCTACTACTCCACCTACTACATACCTACCTCCTTTAATCTTCTATATATAGGACTCATTGTAAACATAACATATATCAATCAATAATACATCATTTTTTACATAAAACAAGTTATTACAGCGTGAGATGTGTTAAACGGACAAATGCAAAGTAGTCTAATCGGTATAGGTTTAATTGCTAGTGAATCCTTATCTGAAAGAATATTGTAATTCTCAGAAATCCAAGATACACGTTGTTTTCATTCCTGTGTTACATTGAATGCAATGGATGTAAAACCTACAAAACTACTCAAGAAGAATATCAAACAGGTATCCTCATGAATAGGAGAAAGCAAATTGAGCAAGTTTCTAACTGGAGCTGCTCTGGTTATCTACAGAATCCGCATAACAAACATCACATACTTCTATGAAAAGCAACATTCGAAACTATTATCAATATGAACAGTTCAGATAGTCAAGCACTTTTACCACCTAGAGAAAACAAAATGAATATCATCATAGCCTCCATAATACACAGTTCAAGGATGAGAAGTACCATTGACCATGAAGGATAGTAAAAGGATACATTTACAAATTCAATTTTCCCCACAAGCCTCTGCAACTTCATTCCTGTGCACAGAAAGATGCACAGTCGACAACAATCATGTAAAAAATTTATTTGTTTCTCAGAAAAGCAGTGTACATATATTTACACAACTACAAAATATTGTTCTAGTGAATCTCTATTTTAAGAAATACTAAAAAAAGGTCTTGCCTTTTGATAAGAATTGGTCACTGGGCATGAGAACCATTAGCTGGAAAACCTTTTCACTTGCTCCAATAGCCTGAAGCAATGATGATAAATTGTCTTCCAACCTCCAGGCTGCATAAATCAACCACTCACAGTATAATACATACTTCATAAGTTGCTCAGCTGATACATGACCAGTCAGAACCGACATTCCTCCTAACAGGACAGCAAAAACCTACAAATTTAGTTAGAGAAATAAAGTGGATGTTAACTACAATCAATAAGGTAACATTTCAAGTAAGTGATTTGCTTATGATTCAGTTCAGCCTTAAAATTGTGAGAAGAGCCAAACCTGTGTTGAACGATACAGAGTGTTGAAACTCAGATACCAGGATCCATAAGCAACACTTTCTCGAATGCCTATATAAACTAACTTGTCCAGCCATTGCTTGTACCTACAATATAATATAGGATATGTCCTGTAAGTCTCCTATGATTGTTCATTAATATACATTCATATGAGATTTGGGTGTCATTGTAAACTCAGCAGAAGAATTCCAGTTAGAATTATTACCTTCCAAGTTCTTCTTCTTCTGTTCCATAAACTCGAACAGTTCTTATTAAAGAAAAAGTCCCTCGAGCAGCCTAAAGTTTAACAGGGAAAAAAACAAAAAAAGGACTATCATACTACAGATACTTAGAACGAAGGAAAATAAAAATAAAAAAAAACTACGAAAATTTTTAAAAAAATTGTTTGGTTTGTTTTTCAGAAAATTTTTGGGAAAAATTCTCTATAAACAAAATTTCAAGAGTAATCAAAACAAACAAATTTTTCCAAAAAAATCTCAAAATTTTGTTTGGTTACGTACTTTCCAAAATCACTTTCTCTCTCATACACATCAAATCAATCACTTTTTTTTAAACTCTCTCCCCAAAATAATTTTTCCTAAACCATTTCTGAAAAAAGACAAACCAAACAAGTTTTCGTACTTTTTATCTCAAAAACTATTCTACAAACACAAACCAAACACACCCATAGAATTTTAGGAAACAATATAGATCAAATTTCTGCTATTACCTCGTTTGCAGAAGCACTGTACTCTTGGGTAAATTTAGCTACTTTCTTTTGGAACCTATCAGATACAAAAAGGTTTCAGTAACACTTTCCAAAAACCATAAACTGTTAAAGGCACCCTTATGAATAGATAGTAAATTTTTTTTAAAGCAACTGTTAGTGTGTGCCCTTGGGGCACATGTTAAAAAGCTTAAAATGATTATACATTTTGCATGGAAGTGCAAGTAACAAAGAATGTACAATCCTTTTAAGCATTCTTATCATGTGTCTTAATGGCACACGCTAACAAAACCCTTCATTTATAAGCATGCATGTTCATGATCATTATGATTTTTGGCCACCTTTAGTATCCCTTCAACCGGCAGTCATACCAGTTAAGTATTTCATTTCACCATTGGATTTGATTTACAAAGAACTTTTATATTGTGATACATGTATGTCACTTTGTGCCCTTACTCTTTCTAGGAATATAAAAAATTGGAAGAAAACTTAGTAAGTGAAAGGCATGAAAAGCAAAATGATACAACTTACTTCAAGTATAACAAGGAAGCTAATTACTTCATTTAAAGAAGCAATCCAATCTGAACAAGAAGAAAGGACCTGTATTCTTTGGTGAAATAGAAAGGACCTATATTCTTTGGTGCAATAGACAGAAGAATGACCCTAGCCCTGGTTTAGCCAGAATCTGTATTGAAAGTTATAAAATAAGCTAAATATATCTCTGCCTTTACACACAGTGGATGTCTAGAGCACCCAAACATATCGGCATGATGAGAACTACAATGAAGTATACATGGATTCTTATTCACAAATGTGATTCTTGCTTTTCGAAAAAAAAAGAAGGTCAACTTAATGAAAGTGCAACTTAAGGTGAATGCTAAATAAAAATAGAACAACTTAACAAAAAAAACCAATCAAATTAAGTTGCAAACAGGGCAAACCATTTACACACTATAATTGATTGGTTTCTGTGATCATGTGTGTATTACACTAATATGAAGTGAAGATTGGGAAGACCAATCTAATCTGTATCGACGTGGGAAAAGATAAAAATGCTTACTGGCCATAAAATAGGAAGATTGTGGATAGGACAGAACATATCACCAAGGTTGAAAATGCAAGAGGCCAAGATAAAGTCAGCAAATTGATCAATGCACCTATGCCCTGAAAGTAATAGTTCAACTTCAAGTAAAAGCCAAGCTTGAAAGTGAATGGCAGTCTAGGAAAAGAAAGAGTTACAATAAGAGTGGCAACCCGAAGAGAACTGCGTAATATCATATGTATATCATTTTCAATAACATGAGACAATCTTTGACAATCTGCTCCAAGCCTGCTAGTCAAGGATAGGACAGAACATATCACCAAGGTTGAAAATGCAAGAGGCCAAGATAAAGTCAGCAAATTGATCAATGCACCTATGCCCTGAAAGTAATAGTTCAACTTCAAGTAAGAGCCAAGCTTGAAAGTGAATGGCAGTCTAGGAAAAAGAGTTACAATAAGAGTGGCAACCCGAAGAGAACTGCGTAATATCATATGTATATCATTTTCAATAACACGAGACAATCTTTGACAATCTGCTCCAAGCCTGCTAGTCAAATCACCAACTGCTTCTTTATCAAAAAATGATAGATCCTACATAAAAGAGAACACCACCATAAGGGGCCCTGCCAAGTGACCAAAAATACAGCAAAGGAATATAGTGTGCCTGAGGAATTTGCAAAGAAGCTCATATACATAGTCTCTGAATTAAACAACAGACCTGGAAAATGAGAGCTGCGAACAAAGTTTCCCTTAGACGCTTGAGCTGCAAAACATTGAAGGAAGCACCGGCTGACATCAAGTTGTTTTGCCAAACATGACAACAATAGAACAGAACAGTGCAAAAGGGAAGACGTTATGTTGTACACTAAAAAAGTACCAACAGCAACAAATAGTGGATTGATCAATAAAATCTATGAATGCAAGTTCAGATCATTGGGTGACAGAAAGAACTAGAAAATCATGAAGCCAACGGGAAGGTACCTGCATCTAAATAGCCTAGAGGAATGAACCATCTCCTATCCATAGCAATTAGCAGGGCAGCATTTTGCAACCCTGGTTTATGATGGATAAGGTTTTTCAATTTGCTACGGTTTGTTGTTGGTTTCACATATCAAAGCATTCTGGCCCAAAGGGTATGAAGATAGTTCCTGTTACTGTTTTATGGAAGCTTTGAAGAAAGAGAAAAGAAAAAAAACTAATTAAGGATAATCCTCTTGCAATGAAACTTCGGATGATTAGAATAAAACGAATGCTGTCTGTTTTTTCAAGAGGGCAAGGACATTTGATTTGAATAACAAATAAATAGGAGCCTGACATGGCTAATCTTCTTGTATCCTCTAGGGTCAATATAGAATCTCTTTTCATCCAATTAAAATTCATTTGTCTGGGAAGCAAAAACAGGTAAAAGCAGCTACTATTGCTAGTAATCAACAATTTTCATGAAGGATATAGAACATCAGACGCAATAATCACTTTGTCATGAAACTAAATACAAAGAGCAGTGAAACTAAAAAATAAAAAATGAACACATTGTCAGAGAATTAGCTAATAAGAACATTGTCACTCTGCATGGAAAATCTACATCAAACCCTTGGAAACAGTTTAGTGGGTATTTGAGAAGTGACTATTTTTTAAGTTTTTTGACTTTTTGGTTATTTTAGTAGGCTATTTTAGTTTTTGTGTTTGGGAAGTTGGGTTGGATTTTTATTTGAGTTGTTGTATTGAAAAATGTGTTTGAAATGATATTTAAAACGAAATGAAAAATTTGTCCCTAGTTTCACTTTTTTCAAAATTAATCTAAAGGGGTAAAATTGTCATTTATTCATTTGGGACTAGGCTATGATTACAAATATACCTACACTGTCACGGACAGTGTAGGTCTGCCGGCTGCTATTTTGTTTGTTTTGTTTTTTTTTAATCAATGGGATAGGCTGATTTTTTTTTTAGACTAAAAGGCTATTTTTCACTTTGAGGCTAAAATAGCCTCTACCCATAGTTCCCAAACACCCCCTTAATGTTTCTTTATGATGGAATTTTTTCGAATTCAGTCAATGAACTACACAAGTCTCCAATTCCAGTTAGTTTGTTTCTCTCCAATCAATTTATCAAAATTCGAAATAAATCCTTGAAATTTAAGAGGGACTCACCAATATCATATTTGCCGTTCCAAAGCAGCCACTTCGCACACCACTGAAATTCACATTATTGCATAAACAATCAAGCACCTTAATCAATACTCATCAAATAGCCCAAACTTCAAAAGCAACTATTTTGAACATAAATTAGCGACAATATATTCAAGTTCAAAGATAAACTTCACTTTTATCTATATAAATTTAGCATGAGGATGACAATTTTCCATTTAAGTTATTTGTTCTAAAAGCTATACAAGTCAAAATGATTCTAGAAAAAATGCATGCAATGTGACATGATTAAAGGCAGCAAAAAAATTACCTGCATATGCCTGAGACAAAACACAACAAAATCAAGAGCTGTGAGTTCCTATAGAACACTGCAGTCTGCCCCCTCTGTGCAGAGAAGACAGATGCTGCCAAAAAATTTGGAATTGAGATCTCCGAGAGCTGCACTAAAAGGACATATCTTACAGGGTGATGGACATTGTAAAAAAAAATCTACAGAAATAGGATAAATAAATTAGAGGATTGAGGTTCAAACTTGAAAAGTTTGATTGTCAGTAAGTGAGCAGTGTTATAAATCTTAATCATGGTGCCGGGTCTTAATGTAAATTATAACACAAAGAGGCAAGCGACATGGAATAATAAGTTACCACTGCAAACTCTAGTTTTCATTGTGAAACAATGGTACTAGCTTTGCATTTGATTTAACACTCTTTAAAATCCAAGGGAAAAGCTACAATAGACAATCCTGAAAACCCTCTAAAAACTTGTATATATCACCAGGGACGGATCTAGGATTATGACTTTGGGGGCTACTCTATATAATTTTGAAATTATTTAAAAAAAAATTGGGGTTGCGAACTCCTATAATTTTAAATTATTTTAAAATTTCTAGTATAATATATGATATTTTTCAAATTTTTGGGTGTGTGCACCCCCCCAAGTCCATCATTGTATCATATGCACTTTCTTAATAAGGTGGCAATGATTCATAACTAACACTAAAAAAATCCAAACAGAAAACACCACAAAGTCCAGCTTTGCTCACCCCAAAACCCCGCAACAATGATCATAACAAAATTACAAAACGTACACTCTTTATAGGGCATCCAACTAACTTCTTTAACACATGAATCATGCTTCGTTTGTTTTGACGTAAAATGTTTTGTCAAAAATATTTTACTCATTTTATGTTGTTTAGTTGAACAAAAAGCAAGTAAAATATTTTTGCCTCATTTTCTAAAAAAATGACTTACATTTAAAAATTCTGTAACCAACTTTTACAAAGTTGACCCTCACTCATTGCTTTTTCAAAGCATTTAAACATCTTAGCTCACTAAAATTTATAAATGACACTTTATTAAATTAATAAAATATTTTTATTTAAAGTCTGAACCAAAGCCAAAAAACGAAAACAAAAATATTTTCCCTGTGTGAAATCAATTTAGAAGAAAAATATTTTTTGTGTAAAGTTATATCCAAACAAACGGAGCCTAAATGAATTATTCTGTGTATCACATAAATCAACTGGCGTATAACAAGTAAATCAGAGTTAATCGAACAATGCATTGAAATTCAAACTTATAGAAACACACGCACCGCAACAATAGTAAGAGAAACCAATGCAGCATATATAACCCATCGATCATCTGCAACCAATGCCCAAATTCGACGAAGAGCAAGTAAAACAGTCACTGGCTTCGCCTCTCTTGCCTTGCTTCCTACTTCGTTAGAATCACTCAGGTTCCACCAACTTCCACCAGGCAACACTGACCGCATAAAAATAACCCATCTCTCTAAAACCTCAGCTTTTGGTATATTCGGCGCCGACAAGTCCTTTGCGGACCCTGAATTCGGAATGTGAAAGTGAAAGCATTCATATCTGATGTTGGGTGGCTTGATTGAATTTGGAAATCGAAAATTGGTGTTGACAGTTAAATGTGATGGTGTGTTGGGACGAAATACCGATAGAAACTTGCTTTGATTGCAATAACGGTGCGTTTGATGCTGGAGGTTGAACTGAGGTACGGCCATGGATAGAGTGAATGAGAAAACTACACTGCCACCTCGACTCTTCTGCACTTTCCCTTTACATCGAGTCAACCTCCGCCCATGAGCTAAGCCCGGCGAGATTTTTCTTGGGTGCCTTTGTTTTGGGGGATAGAGGAAGGAATGAGACTGAGACTGAGACTGAGACTGAGGCAAGATTTATTAATATCGTGATTTTTGGGTCTTTTTTTTTTTGTTAGGATGGATTTTGGAGATTAGGATTGAAATGGAGGCCAAATACTTGAAAATTTTTGTCTGCGTTTGATAATTTTGCAAATATGATTTGAGAGTATGAGTTATATTTTGAGTTTGTGAGTTATATAATTATGATTTTAATATAGAAAATTTATTTGGTTATGATTTTTGAATAGAATGTTGAATTGAGTTTTAAATTGTATGTGGAATTAAGTTTTGAAAGTTTGATATGACATGTGAAATAAAAAAGTTTGTTTGGTGATGAGTTTTTAAAACTTAATTCAACCTATAATTGATAATCAAACACACAACTCATAACTCGATATCCGTATTTTTGATCAACAGCCATAACCAAATTATTTTTAAAATATTCAAATAAAAAAATGATTTTTTTTTTCAATTAATTGTTTTTCAGTAATTTTTTTGAATAATTTTTTTTTTCAAATAACTTCTATGTCAATTATTTTATGTCAATTAATTTTTCTATCAATTTATTTTTTAAGCTTGTATAAACATTAAAAATATTAAAAATATTTTAAAATTATTTAGAAAATTAAAATATTAAAAATATTCCGAAATTAAAATATAAAAATATTCCGAAAATTAAAATATTAAGAATATTAAAAATATTCCGAAATCAAATACTAAACAATATTCTGAGAATCAAAATAATTCAAAATAAAAATATCAAAATATTTAAATTAAAATATTAAATATTTATTATGAAAATTAAAACAATTTAAAATTTTAAATTAAATAGTTTGATATTTAAATATTTAAATATTCAAAAAATTTAAAAATTTAATATATTTAAATTTAAAAACAACTCTACACTCAAATCGTACAAAAAACATGAACAAAACTCAATTAAAAAATTATATTTAAAACTCATAACCAAACACATAACTCGAAACTCCATACTACTTCACAACTCTACACTCAAATCGTAACCAAATACATAAAAAAAAAATTAAAATATTTTTATAAAATAGAGTTTGAATTATTTTTTATAAAATATTTTAAAAATTTTAAAAATTAAAATCGTAATATTTAAAATTAAAAAAAATTAAAAAATCGTAACATATTTAAACATTAATAATATTTAAAATCTTAACATAAATTAAAATATTGATTTGAATTGAGTTTAAAAAGTGTTTGAATTATGTGTTTGGTTATGAGTTTTAAATTAAATAGTTATGTTTTGAATTGAATTTTGAGAAATGGTTGTGGAAGTATATATTTGAAGCTCAAAACAAACACCACACTCAGATTAATGAGTAAAACTATATTTAAAAGGCTTACCAAACGGAGCTTAGTCTTGCGGTATTAGTTTGTTGGATATTTTTTTTTGAATATTAATATTTAATGTTTTTGTATTTTTTATTAACTAAAAATTATAGTTTTATTATTTTATATAAAAATAATTTAATAATTTATACACTAACAACTATCATTCAAATAAATACAAGTTTACTTAATTTCTTCATTATCAATCTCTTCACTGACAATCCCCTCACTATTAATCTCCTTACTATCAATTCCTTCAATTCTATCTCTGAAAATAAATAGGCAATTGGGATAAATCACTCAAAAACCTTTTTTGAAAATGGTGTATTCTATTTAATTCAATTTTTTTTAGATAGATCTAAAAGTCTTATACATATTTATCTTCTCTTTTTTTTCTTACACCTTATTTTTTTTCTTTATCTCTTTTTCTTTGATATCGGCGATGGTGTTGATGATCACCACGTCTTCTTTCTTTTCTTTTCCTTTCTAATCTACAGTCACCAGCGTGATCACCATTAATTAGGGTTCACGGGCAACCACTGAGTACCAACTCCTTATTTCGTGCTCACTGACGGCAAAAGAGATGAGTTCTTGATGAAAAGGATGAGTAGATATAGCTAGATTTAGACAAAAAAATAGTTGTCGGATTCGATATCTCAGTTTTAATACTTTTTTTGTACTATTGTTGTCGGATTCGATCTCTTAGTTTTAATATATATATATTTTTTTGGATTACACACTTCTATTTCCCTATTATAATAGAAAAAAATTTAAAATTCTAAACAAGTTATTTTTCGAGTTTTACTTGCAAGCGGTGAAAACTGTAAAATTTTACAATTTCAGTTTTTTTTTTGACTAAAATGAATCATTCTTTAGAGTTACAAATTTTTACAGTTTCATAACTTTTTTTATAACTGTAAAAATTTACAGTTCCACAACATATTTTTTAGTTTGATTAATAAGGATAAATACTTAATAGAATCATATTTTGAAACTGCAACATTTTACAGTTTCAAAACTTACCTTTTAGTTTGATTAATATTAGAAATTATTTGCTTAAACCATACAAAAAATGAAAGTAACATATGTTTTATTCTATTGTTGCTGTTTGTTATTCTTAGTTTTTTTTTTTCTTCTTCTTCTTCTTCTTTCAGTTTATCAATATTTAGCACATTTTGCTATATTTTTTCACTTTAATTTCTTAGTTAATTCTTTTTTTCCCCCAGTAATATTCTAGACATTCCAGCGAGTGACCGGCGATATTCTTGACATCCAACAAACATTTTGGTTATTCTGACAACTTTCGGTGCTGTTTAAAACATTTCGGCGATAATTCAGCGAATTTTCGGTGATACTTTGGTGACTTTCCGGTGATATTTTGGTGACTTTCCAGTGATATTGAATATTTTGGCAATTCTCCAATGATTGTTTGATGGAAGTTCGGCAGTGGTGGAATATAGTAACGTCTTTAAAATTTAAAAAAATGATTTTTTTTTTATAACAATTACAAATATATAGAAGTAATTGGTGTAAATGTTTTATTATGGGACTAAATAAATTTTATATTTTGTATACGAGACTTATTAGTAAGTTTTCCTTTTTCTTGATCAATTTGGACTGAATCGGTGTGTGAGCCAAATATTTAGGCCCAAGCCCTACCCAATGAATGTGGTCCAAATAAGGCCTATATTTTTTTTTTTGGAAACACTATGGTACACATATATGTATAATTATTAAAAAAAAAATGATATAATTTCATATTTTTTGAGTTATAATTAAAAATATAAAAAAATATTATAACTAAACACAATATGAATTATAACTAAAGATCTTATAAATCATAATTAAAATAATGTCATAACTAGAAAATAAAATTAATCATAACTAAAGAAAATATAATTAGAGATGCGTGTGTATATTAAAATTTCTCCTTTTTTTTCTTCCCCCACATACATACATATTTATCCATATTTCCTAATAGGCTCATGGGTCGAGCCACCTATTGTGGGCCAACAAGATGGGCTCATAGACCAAACTGAGTTTGAAACCATAGATCTAAGCCTAGTCCAAGGGTCATTTAAACTCGAATCCGTAAAAAAGCTTTAGTTTAGGGGTTGAGATATATATTTAAGCGAAATAGAAATGTATACTATATATTAAGGCCTAGTTTGAGAAGATTAAAAAAAGACAAAAAGTCAAAAAATCGCTATCCTATTTAAGTCACATCATCTTATTTAAGTCACATCACCTCTCTAATACATCACTTCAAACCCAACCCAAACCCAACCCATATTTTATAAAAAGTCAAAAAGTGCACTTATTTAGTCTTCCCAAACTAGGCTTAAGTAAAATGAGATTTTTAACCCTCAAGATTTATGGGAGTTTTAATATGTCAATCATAATTTTTTAATTTGTTGTTTTTTTTTTTAAAAAAAAAAATTAACCTCAGCATTTATTAACTTCTCTTAACCCACAAGACTTTTTGACTTCTCTCATAATTACTGCAGTACCTTTTATAAAACAAATAATTTGTATATTAAAAAAAATTTAAAACAAATATAAATATCTATATCTATATCTATCTATTTATTTATATCTATCTCTAACCCACAAGTTTTGTGGGAGTTCCAATATCTGAACCTTAATTTCTTAATTTTTTTGATTTTTTTTGAAAAAAAAAAACTTATCACTTATTAAATTATTCCAAGTCTTTTTAACTTCTCCAATACACACACTCTTTTTAACTTTTCAAATACCTATTGCAAACAGTAAGTTTCCTTTTTGTTTTCTCCTTATTGACTTCTCACTTCTACATTTTCAACTTCAATGACCACATATGCAAACAGTAAGTCTTCTTTTTGTTTTTTTCTTATTGACTTTTCTTTTTGTTTACTATTTTAATATTGTAGTTAGATAGCGTATAAAAATATCTGTGATTTGTCTAGTGAATAAAAAATTATAATTTGATTTCTTAATATGATTGAAGTTAGATAAATATAAACCCTCACAAAGAAAAAAATGTGATTATAATTAGTTGAATGATTTTTTTTTTTTAATGTGATTGTAGTTAGTTTAATAGTTTTTTTTTTCATTTATTTATTTTATTATGGAAAAAATGTTATGTGATTGTAGTTTGTTCAATGGTTTTTTTTTTAAAATATGATTGTTGCAGTTAATTCAATGGTTTTTTTTTAATGTTATTTAATCTTTTTATTTACTATTTTAATTTTATTTTTAATATGATTGAAATTAGACAAAAATAAACACTCACAAAGAAAAAAATTTGATTGTAATGTAATGTGATTGTAATTTGTTCAATGGCATTTTTTTTTAATATGATTGTTGTAGTTAGTTCAATGATTTTTTTTAATGTTATTTAATCTTTTTATTTACTATTTTATTTTTATTTTTAATATGATTGAAGTTAGATAAACATAAACACTCACAAAGAAAAAAATGTGATTGTAGTTAGTTCAATGGTTCCTTTTTTTTAATGTGATTGTAGTTAGTCAATGGTTTTTTTTTCATTTATTTATTTATTTTTATTATAGGAAAAATGTGATGTGATTGAAGTTTGTTCAATGGTTCTTTTTTTTAATATGATTTAATCTTTTATTTACTGTTTTAATGGTTTTTCTTTACAATTATTTATGAAAAAAATATGATTGTAGTTAGATAGCATAAAAATATTTGT